AAAAAAAGCTTTACTTAGCCTCTATAATAACAAGGAGGCAATTCAGTCCCCCAGGGCCCCTTTTCTCTAGTATCACCAAGGGGTTTAGATTAATAACAAAATTTTAATCAATATAATATGGATAATTCAATGGGATGCGACTAGGGATCAAATTTTAGGGGTCATGCTCTGGTTGTCATACCAAGCCATGTAAGTTCCAGGCCACAAACAAAAGCATCAAAGGGTCCAAACCTGGTAATCATTTGCAATTTGTGGTGGTTAGGTGGGGCAGTGGATAGCGCACACACGTCTTTCACCAAGGCAGCCGGGGTTCAACTCCCTGATGGGACTTGAAAAGGTATGGGTCACCTGCCCAACCATGTGGTTTTATCTGAGTTCTCTGGTTACCTCCCACATTAAGGCCCCCCTTCCTCCTACAACTCCCCCTCACAGAGTATGACAGTAGAGGGGCCATGAACTTGCCATTAACATCAATACAAGTTTTAATTGGTTTTCAGGTAAGAATTCAAGAAACAATTGTATTTTCTATTATGCCAATACAAAGTATTTAAGATATTACAAATTGTTAAAATGAGGCACCTTTGGTAGTGGTATAATTTGTAAATTTTCTTTTTCTTTCTGAATCCGCCCGTTATGTAACATCTACTGGTGTACAGGAATGTTTTCCTTTCTCATAGTACCAATACAGATAATCAAAGAGGTGAGAGTGGGCAAGAATACAGAGGCATTGAAGAACCGCGAGATCGCAGGCATTTACCAGGATGAATGTGCTTTCTCTGTCATCTACGGGGATGAGTTTGATTCGATGGACCTGATCGCCAACACAGCAGACGAAGCTAATATCTGGGTAACAGGACTGACCTGCCTACTCACCACTAGCAGTAAGACCGTCACATGTAAGTAAATATAAGGTATTCTGACCTATGTTGTCAACAATGCTGTAAGGTAATATATGGGTACACTCAAACTACAGCTGCATACAGACTTGATAAGATAAACAACTTTGACATAATTAAGAGATCTACCATATGGCTGTAGTCTTGGTAAGATAACCAACTTTGACATAAGAGATCTACCATATGGCTGTAGTCTTGGTAAGATAAACAACTTTGACATAAGGTTTCTACCTTATGGCTGAAGACTTTGTAAGTTAATAAACTTTGACATAAGATTTCTACCTTATGGCTGAAGACTTTGTAAGTTAATCAACTTTGACATAAGATTTCTACCTTATGGCTGAAGACTTTGTAAGATAATCAACTTTGACATAAGATTTCTACCATACTGCTGCAGACTTGATAATTTAAGATACCAATAACCAACTTTGAAATTATATTTACCATAAAGCGGAATACTGGGCTACTGGTAACCTGATTTAGACCCCAGGATCTTCCATACTGCTGTACTGCACGAATCAATGGGACATTGAGCTCTGTTTCTGAGTGTTCAGCTGACATCAGCAATTCACCATCTCCATCCTATTATAAGGTCATAAATGTATACAGAGTAAAAAGCCTCAGTGGCGTTAGGATAATTTATTGCTGATAATAGCCGATTGACAGTGGGAATAGTAGGAGACTATATATTGCTGTATGTAAATGGTTATGGATGTGCTCCTGTGTTTCTGATACCACTTCTGTGTGGAATCATAGGTGTATCTGTATTGTATGTACGGAGCCCTGACACACGTACTGCTCTGTGGGTTTTCGTATTTACAGTATTTTCCTCTTAATTTCCTCTTAGATGTGACTATGTCAACTCAATTGCACCAGGACATTTCTGTTGACCAGGTAGCTCAGTCGGTTAGAGTGATAGTATAACAACATAAAGTTCAGGGTTTAAATCCGGATGTAGCCCCATGGAATTGTTAAATTCAGAACACTGTTGTTGATTATATTTTGTTTATTTCATCTGTGATCACGTTTGATGAAAGTCCCGTAAGGTATGGTTTTCTTTTCAGAAATGATTTATCCAAACTGGTCATGTCAGAAAAACAGTAACTGGAATGTAAATCTATGAACTTGAGAAGTCATTAAATTGAAAATGGAAATTCTTCAATGTCTTTGTTTTAGCTAGATGTATTTTTTGAGCCTGAGTGAAATTGCTGTTGGACATTTCCATTGAGGGTTTCAATAGTATTGTGAAGGAATACGATTTGACCAACCTCCATTTTACCATACGGAATAGTAGTGAAAGGGAAGTCATGAATATTTATAACGGGGATAACTTTCACTTATCTGCTGAGACTTTCCTCAATGAATCAGGATTACACCAGTAAAGAAAGCTCTTATAGCTGATTGGCCAGTTACACAAAAGCTTGCATATGATTGGTCACTTCACTCACATGTCATACATCATCTCATTGGACAGGCATCATTGTCATGGCGGAATAAATTTGCACTGGGTTACAGAATTAATTGGAGTGTTTGACAGTGATGCTAATATAACTGTATCCTCAGTTTGTTTGTTTGCATGAATACTGGCCAGGGCATGATTAGAACGTGAGTCATTAGGGAATACTGGCCAAGGCATGATTAGAACGAGAGTCGTTAGGGAATACTGGCCAGGGCATGATTAGAACGTGAGTCATTAGGGAAGACTAGGGCATGGCATGATTAGAACCTGAGTCATAAGGGAATACTGGCCAGGGCATGATTAGAACTTGAGTCATTAGGGAAGACCAGGGCAGGGCATGATTAGAACTTGAGTCATTAGGGAATACTGGCCAGGGCATGATTAGAACTTGAGTCATTAGGGAAGACTAGGGCAGGGCATGATTAGAACTTGAGTCATTAGGGAAGACTGGCCAGGGCATGATTAGAACTTGAGTCATTAGGGAAGACTAGGGCAGGGCATGATTAGAACTTGAGTCATTAGGGAATACTGGTCAGGGCATGATTAGAACTTGAGTCATTAGGGAATACTGGCCAGGGTATGATTAGAACTTGAGTCATTAGGGAAGACTGGCCAGGACATGATTAGAACGTGAGTCATTAGGGAAGACTAGGGCAGGGCATGATTAGAACTTGAGTCATTAGGGAAGACTAGGGCAGGGCATGATTAGAACTTGAGTCATTAGGGAAGACT